TAAAAACATGTGGCCGTACCAACACAGTATGGCTGGGATCCATTCCAATTTGCTGATGCTTCACATTGCAGAGATGAAGATCCAGACAGTACATAACCTTCATCACAGGTAAAAGTACAGGTGGACTGATAGCTGAATGAGCCCAGAGGATCGGAGCATTTCATGGATCCATGTGTCGGCTCTGACATCTTCTCACACTGAATCACTGTAGACAACAGAGGGGAATAAAGCATTACGCCATGACTCCATCACTGTGTAGAAAATAATAACAATCAATAAAATATAGCATCTCAGAATTTCAGTAGCTACTGGTTAATGTCTCATCTCTTCATTTATCTTGTTACTGCAGATTTCCAACTCACATTCACACAAAGGTGGCTTTTCTGACCATTTCCCTGAGGAAGTACACCTTAGAGATTTCTGCACACTCAGCTTGTATCCTTCCTCACAGGAATACTGACACAAGGATTCATAGGTGAAACTACCATACTTGTGAGAGCAATTTTGGGATCCTTTTTCTGGGGCAATAACTTCGCTTTTGTTACACTGCACAGCTGAAAACAAATAAAACACACAGTTAGATATCAAATCCTTTATGTGACTTAAAATATGATTTAATCTAGGCGGTCATTTTTTTTCATACCTTGGTCACACTTGTCTCCAAAAAACCCTTCAAAGCAATCACATTTGTGGCTGTTGATGGTTTCAACACACTCTCCATGCAAACAGGAGTCAATCTTACAAGCCGCTGCAGAAAGCAAACATGCTTTCATAAGTCTTCTTAGTTATACTCAGAGTAAGTATCTCAGTGCTCTTGAGTCTTTGATTTTATTTATTTTTTGCTGTGTTTTACTTGCATCTATTTCAAAGACTGAGTGTAAACACAAAAAAATATTTTATTTTAAATGCTGGAATGTGCAGAAAATGGGTTTAAATGTTAAACAAATTTCTTCAAGTCAAACATGTTTGCATATAAATAACTTTTTGCAATGTGCAGAAAGTTAAAAGATTAAAACTAATAAAACAAATTTTAAAAAGAGCCTTTCCATTTGATTACATTTTATATGATGGATTATGCATAAACAATAGAATTGGGCTGAAAGGTCTATTGCTGTATTACCTATTCAGGTTGTGTATCATGTTTTTCAAAAGTAACTAAGTAACTAATTACTTTTGAAAATAAGTAACCAGTAAAGTAACGGGATTACTTTTTTGGAGACTTAATCATTAATAAGTTACTAATTACTTTTTCAAGTAACTTGACCAACACTGATTATACTACAAGAACATGTCAAATAAATAATTGCAAGCTTTTAGATCAGTGAAAATATGAACAAGAATATCAAACATGAAGCAGCTAAAACAAGCTGCTCGAGTATGTTAGTCCCAAACTTTTGCTCACCTGTGTAGCACAGAGCAGTCTTTGATTTTGTACAACTCTCGTCATTCCACTTGCTTGGTTCTTTATCTCTTTTAATATACATCTCCACACAGTCCTCACTGATCTTTGCATTTTTGTCACTCTTGCTGTTGTTCGGTTCTCCTTCTGCCCAGTTGGTTGCTTCTTTTGTCAGAGGCTTGTTGGTTCCTACCCAGGTCCAGACATTATTGATCTTACGGATTCCAATCCAGTAGTAGCCTTTTTTCTTGGGCAGCCAGTTGTTAAGATGCTCGATCTCTTCCTGGTTCTGGATGGCCACCATGTCTGTGTAGTGCTCCTGGCACCAGCTTCGTGCATTTTCCCATGTCATTGTGTTGTTTGAATAGAAATAAGACCAGGACTCTACACTAGTCCACATGCACAGCACTAAGGACAGAGAACAGCAATATTTATTAGATGCAAATGTAGTTAAAAAAAAGGATGGATTTTTTAGAAATTATTTGTAAAGGTTTTTAATTAACTAAAGGTGTGGTTGCATTAAATATACATACTTAAGCAAATAAAGGCGAAGTTGATCCACGAGCTCTTATATCCATGGGTCTGAATTAGTCCAAAGCAGGAATTCTGTAAACATCATATAAAAAAAAAAGTTCACTAAATTAAAGCTGAATTGATTTTTACTGAAATCTGCCCTAAAAAGAGCAATATTTAAATTGATACCCCACTCACCATGTCAAATGGTATGCCTGATAGCCTACAGTAGATGTTTGACTCTGTGGGTTTCAGCCTCATATGTAGGGATGAAAGTATTCTGAGTGTCATGCACTGGATTTGCTGCTTTTATGTTCTTCTCTTGTATCATCCAGGAAACCTGGAGGATATCAGTTGAATTCCCCCCACCCCTCCAATACTGTCCAGTATTTCGTCATTCCACAGAAGGCTTTAAAAACATTTCCTGTTCAAAACGTTTGTGTCGTCTTACTCAATCAGCTCATAGTGTTCATCAGTCTGTAACTCACAGGTTGAGTTGACAACAGACAACAACCTTAGCTGAGTGATATTTTTAAAAAAATGTGTAAAAATTGCAATATTCTTCACAGTTGATAGATTTGCATTTTTAGGTGCTCTGGTGAAGACAAAACAACTCACTGAACATTTTGTAAAATTATTTAAATGTACAGCAAAGACTGTGTGAAAGGGTGGAGTAGCTCAGGACAAACGCCTCATTTCAACACTGACCTTACTTCGGTAAGTTTCTTTCCCTGGAGAAAAAAAAACAAAGAAGTTGATTTCTTTTGAGGTATACTGCAATAAGATTTCATATTATTTATTTTATTTCTTAATTGAGAAAGTAACTGACTTTGTCAGAAGATGGTAGAGAAGCTGTTTAGAGTCTGAAGAAAAAAGAGAGAGAAAAAAGTACACTCATACAGTGTGTTATGTCGATGTGACTACTGCTGCTAAGGACCATGGCCTCAGACTTTGATGCTCATTCTCATTGTTTAACAATTGGATGTGAACTTCTCTAGCCCAAGCTGGATGAAACCAACAGGGCCACACCAACCACAA